CTGCTGCTGCATTCCTTCGTTCCTTATTATCTCTGACCTTGTAGGCTGCCTGTGTAGTGTCTGGCCATCATTTACCCGTGGGACTAGTTTCGATTCCCAGCTTCTGCTCTCTGCTCTAACGCCCTGGGGCCCCATTCTCCCGCGCGTGGGAGTCAGGCCGATTGGCCTAGGAATGGGGTTTGTGTGCATACGAATACCCTGTATTCCATTATGCTTGTAGGAACGTAGCCATTCCTAACAGTGACAATGTTGCTGCATCTATAGCTCTAGCAATAAAGTATAACCTTATGATAAGAGTGTACTCATTTGTTTGGCTGTGAAACCTTACACGTGGACTGTAATCTGGGAGAACCGGGTTTGATTCCCCCACTCCTCCACTTGCAGCTGCTGGATGACGTTGGGCAAAGACATAGTTCTGTCAGAGCTGTTCTCTCAAGGGCAGTCCTCGAGAGAGCTCTCTCAGCCCCATCTACGTCACAGGGTGTCTGTTGTGGGGAGGGGAAGGGAAAGGAGACTTCACGTTGCTTTGAGACTCCTTCGAGTAGTGAAAGGCGGGGTATAAATCCAATCTCTTTTCTTCTTCTTCTTTTAAATTTTAATTTCTCCTTTTATGATCATGCAGTCTCTTTTTTGTATACTGGTGGTTAAATGCCGGGGGGGTGTCTTTCTTCTGGGTAAACCGTTTGTGATTTTTAAGATTGTTCACATGCGTGATCCACCTCAGGCATCTTTTAGTGGAGTATGCAGGTTAGGAATGTTTTTAAGTGAATAAGGACGGAAGGGGATGTTGTACATATTAGATTCCATGTCAAAAATGAAGTCAAATGAGGAGGAAGATCTATGTTTTATTTCAATTAACAAGAAAACAGTTGGACCAAATAACTCATCAAAAAGTGACAACTTTCTTCTTTTTCTTCTTCATCTTCTTCTTTTTCTTGAACATATTCTGAACTTATTCAGGAAATACATGATATTTTATACATGGACTGACATCATCAAGAAAACAATATTCAAAAAGCATAATTGGTTACAAAAGACAGTGGTCATTTGAGTAATAAGCCTCTGATTGGCCAGATGTAAAAAGAGATGTACCTACATAAATCTAAATAAAGATTTACTTAACCTAACCTAAATGATAATGGGCAAGGATTCGTCATATCCCAAACAAAAGTATTTTTGACTGATACGGGACTAAAATCTTCTCTGATCCAGACATTGCAAGGTTTTGCCCTTAAGAACTACAGAATCATGAACTTTGTACCTATTATGTTGTCTGCTAACAGTATCAGACCTACAAGAGGAAAGCCTTCTATATAACAGGCCTTTCTAACATCCTAATAAAATATTAATTAGAAGAGAAATCCATAAAACCAGGGAAAAAATAGGAATATGAGCAATCAAGAAGAAAAAACCCTATATAAAAAAATCTTTATATTCCTATTCATACTACATTTGCAAGTGGGCGTTGCCATTCCACACAGTAAAGTCCAGGTGCAAAGTGCATTGCCAAATACAGGCTTACCAACTGGAGATTATAGAGACCACCCTCTTGGCCTTTGCCCATTGCACACTTTCCTTGGGGATACTGAACAAACAAACTGCGATCTGATGTGATCACGCAGAAGGGGCGGGCCTGAGACCAGGGTGGGGATGCAGGTCAGCTGATGACCCACAAAACTCTCAGCCTTTCCCCCCTCAAAAAATGAGAGCCTCTGTGGTGTAGTGGATGGAGAGGGCGAACCGGGTTCAGATGCTCACTTCTGCCACAGAAGGTCGCTCAGTGACCTTGGACCCGCTGCAAACTCTCAGCCTGGCCTACCTCACAGGGCTATTGTAGGATAATGGGGAGAGTGATGTTCTAAGACGCTTTGAGTCCCAACTGTGAAGAGAAAAACAGGATATAAATAAATAAATGGAGTTTTTTGCAATTATTCATGGGTGGGGGAGGGGGAGTGAAAAAATGATGGAGTACTAGCAGGGGCCATTTCGTAGAAAAAGAGGTCCATGAGCTCATTAGCATAACTTATTTGAATATGCCACACCCCCTGACATCACCGGAAGTGTGTCAGAAGGCAACACCCACCGCTCAGGCTCCACTGGACTGTTTTGGATTGCTAGCTACTGGGGGGGGGGGTTTGCAGATCTGCCCTCGCAGAGGAAGGGGGGCTTGTAC